CGTCTTGTTCTTCAAAAAGGGTGACAAGACCAGGTTGAAGAACTATCGACCCATATCCCTTCTAAGCCACGTCTACAAGCTGTTTTCGAGAGTCATCACGAACCGTCTTGCGCAAAGACTTGACGAATTCCAACCACCGGAGCAAGCTGGGTTTCGGAGCGGATATGGCACCATAGACCACATCCACACAGTGCGGCAGATTATACAGAAGACCGAAGAATATAATCAGCCCCTGTGTCTAGCATTCGTGGACTATGAGAAAGCCTTTGACTCGATCGAGATCTGGTCTGTTCTGGAGTCCCTGCAGCGTTGCCAAGTAGATTGGCGATACATCCAAGTGATGAGATGTCTCTACGAAGCCGCCACCATGTCCGTCCAAGTACAGAATCAGCAAACAAGGCCCGTACCATTGCATCGAGGAGTGAGACAAGGGGACGTTATTTCCCCGAAATTGTTCACAAATGCAATGGAGGACATGTTCAAGACGCTGCACTGGAAAGGGCGTGGCATCAATATCAATGGCGAATACATCTCTCACTTGCGATTTGCAGATGACATCGTCATCATGGCAGAGACGTTGCAAGACCTACAGCAAATGCTGAATGACTTAGCTGACACTTCTGTACGCATCGGCCTACGGATGAACTTGGATAAAACCAAGGTCATGTTCAACGAACATGTACTACCGGAACCGATTGCGGTACACGGTGCCGTTCTCGAAGTTGTTCAAAATTATGTGTACCTCGGGCAGACATTGCAGTTAGGTAGAAAACAACTTCGAGGACGAGGTGAACAGAAGAATTCGGTTGGGTTGGGCAGCGTTTGGGAAGCTACGTCGAGTCTTCTCATCGTCGATCCCACAGTGCCTTAAGACGAAAGTCTTTAATGAGTGCGTCCTACCCGTCATGACATACGGAGCTGAAACGTGGACACTTACGGTACGGCTGGTCCACAAGTTCAAAGTCGCTCAACGTGCTATGGAAAGGGCTATGCTCGGCGTTTCTCTAAGGGATCGCATCAGAAATGAGGTGATCCGGCAGAGAACTAAGGTCACCGACATAGCGTACCGGATCAGCAAGCTGAAGTGGCAGTGGGCTGGCCATATTAGCCGCAGAACCGATAACCGTTGGGGAAAACGAGTTCTTGAGTGGAGACCGCGTCTCGGCAAACGTAGTGTAGGACGCCCACAGGCCAGGTGGAGTGACGATTTGCGCAAGATGGCTGGCAGGAGCTGGATGCGAGAAGCCCAAAATCGATCTAAGTGGCGTGCAATGGGAGAGGCCTATGTCCAGCAGTGGACTGCGATAGGCTGATGATGATGACAAGTTGATCATTCACTTTTACTATTAAATGCCATTATTTATACATAGGTAAAAATAAGATTGTATCATGAAAGTAAAATATTCACACAAACTTATAAAAAAGAGTCTAAAAGACAATTGTATACAAAACTGATGCTTCATAGCGGAGTTTGATTTTACACTGAATATAAACCCTTTTAACCAAATATTTCTAGTTATTTTATTATTTATACCTATTCCATTCAATTCGAAATATATTATTTAACATATTTAAATTAATTTATTTTATTACAAAATTGTTTTAAAAAAAAAATGTTTCTTGGTTGTTATGGGTAAAATTTCATACGGTAGTCAACACTGGCCATCCATCGTAAAGTTATGTCTTTGTCTTTGTTTAATCCGAGCGATGGTATTGTTCTTGTCTCGCGTGTAAATGAGACATAAATATGTTTACTTTCAAATGTTTAGTGGTATCAAAGCTACGTCGTCAAAGTTCAAAAGTGGTTACACTTTTTTCGACGTGTGATAATGAGGTTTGCTTCTCTAGTGTTGTTTTAACTCAATGACAGCGGATAGACGCAAATGTACTGGCTGGTCTGGTTTATTTACACTCCTTGATGTAACCTCTATTAGTTAGCAGTTTGAGCACATTTAGCAGATCGAAGAAATTCTAATTTTGATGTATATTTTCAAATGATTTCTTGTACTAGTTTTGTTTATTAATTGATGATTTATTATTTACTAGCTGGCACCCGCGACTTCGATCGCGTCGAATTAAAAAAACGCTGCCATGAAGACTCGGGTTCGATTCCCGAATGTTAAAGGGTTTTTCTAAGAGGAAAAATAGCCTAAGTTATTCCTTATACAGACAGCAACCTGGTAGTAAAATATTTTCAAAATCGGAATAAACAGACAGACAAAAATATTGAAACTGGTTTTTAGGTATAGGTATCGTGCAAATAACCGTGTGAGCATGTAAAAACCTATTGTTTTGGCATTACAAACAGACACTTCAATTTTATTTATTTTGATAGACAGATGTTTAACAAATTATTTATTTGATGAATATAAATTAATAACATAATATATTATTTTTGGACATCTGACACACAACGAGGGAGTACTTACGAGGGAGATTTTTATACGCATATCAAAGAACTTATTCTTTGATGTGCGTATAAAAATATCCCTATTGTGAGCTGGTGATATATCTGTCCTAATTTTCCATCCCCAAACAATAACGAAAAGCTAGGCTGGTTTCGTTTATGGCCAATGGCTTGTGTGACGTCAACCCTCCTTGAGAATGTCACCACTTTTATACAGGACAACGAACTCTTATTTTCGTCCTGTGGTTTGAGACGCCTCTCGGATAAGAACGTAGACTGGCCACCCCCAGGAGTTCTCAAATTGGAAATGCTTTTAAGTGTACAGTTAATATAATTTATATTATTATATTTAGGAATCCTCCCACCGCTTGTCACCCAATTTCCTTCCCCTTAAAGTGTGACCCTTATAACATAATCTTAAAGCAACAGTAAATAATAAAAAAAAAAACTTATTACTTGACCATAAAGGACAATTCTAATCACTATTGTCCTTTAGAAAAACCCTTGTTTATTACGGTGTTTTTTTATTTGATTTGACTAGACGTATGGCGTAGTGGTTTAAGCTGTCGCCACGCCGCTTCCTACTGCGCCGCGTGTTGTGGGTTCGATCCCCACATGGGACGACACTTTGTGTGATCCACAAATTGTTGTTCTGAGTCTAGGTGTTTTTTCGTGTCCGTTTCATGTATGTTTGTAAAGTCTCCCACGACACGGGATGTATTCCTAATGCGGGAGTTGTCAACAAAAACAAAAATATTTTAGTAACGGAGGTATAATATATTTGCATATTTACAAGAATACATCACTTGATGACGTAATGTCAAGGCACCTTGCGTTTCGCGTATTTGTAGAACAGATAGGAGCATTACAGACTTTAACATTATTTTTTAAATGATAATAATTAAGATTTATGTACTGAAATTAGATTATGTACTTTCCTATTGACTGCAATATCCTACTAGATTATGATTCTAACCTAACAGTCTTCAGAGTGTGGGGAAGTTTCCTTGCACGTGAAGTGGGGATGGCTTCTATTTTACTCGTCTGTCTCATAGCGTTGACAATTTTTTGATTGAATGTTCCGATTATGAAATGTTAAACTTCAAGCTGCTGTTTTTTGTTAGCGTCTAGAGTTGTTAAATTAAAAAAAATATCGCTATGGTACAATGTTTAATGGACTAAGGAACAGTATTACGGCTATGTTAGTTCTGATACTTAAGAGTGATCATCGCCCTGTTTACGAAGGCGAATCCGTTAGAAACGAGCTTTCATAAACTTAGGTAAGGTTAGAACTGCGATCCCACAAGAAAACGAGCTATACTCAGAATAGTAGGTTAGGTTATAAAAAGTTCAGCTTTCCAAATATTAGCGATGCGTCACGAACTCAATATTGTTGCTAAACTAATAATATTTTGAGGTAATTATTTCGCTGAGCAATCAGTATTTTTGATTAGGATTCGGCTTTTTTTAATAGAAAATAAGAGAGATTTGTAGTTAAATACCACCCATTTATAAAATGATGAATGAAACTTAATTTCATTCCAAAAAAAGTAATATAAATAAGTTGGCAGAAAGGTCACAACGCGAGTACCCGACTATGTATTTTGATATTTATGTATTTAAAAATGTGTATGTTCATGTATTGTATGTGTACACTTGGGACCTCTATTAGTGTATATATGTAAGTTAGATTTATCTTAAATTAATAAATTTAATATAAATCAAGTCAAATTCTCTGTTTTCTCTTGCACCTACCGCATCATTTTTCTACATCACCCGAAGGTCGACTGGCAGAGGATGCCTAGGGCATTAAGTCCGCCTGTGTACAACTGTGCATTAAGTTAAATAAATAAATAAAAAAAATTAGTTAAAAGCTATGGAATCCTACACATCGCGTAGCGCAACATAAACTTGGCTGATTATTTACATTCATAGAATTAAAAATAGACCTTATTGAATTATAGTTGAGTAAATAACATTAAATATTACGTAATATAACTTTAAGTTATTGTGTATCGTTCTAAGTTCAAGTGTACTTCAGACACGTGTTGTCTAAAGTAAACAAGTGTTTATGTCATAGCTTGTCCAGCGCTCGACATGTTGGACATGGCACTATTACTGGGCCGCTGTTCATATTTGACATTCGCGGTCGTGTTCCACGTACGTGTGCCAATTAACTGCCATACATTAGACTCGAGGTTACATTTTGTGCAGAATAAAATAGAATATTATTCAGACTAATAATATATATTTTTACTACGCCTACGACACTACTCCTATTATTAGTTACAATAGGCGTAGTGTAGTCAAAACAGATAAACACGGGGATCGTAGCCCCTCATTTGGCTGTTTCCTTAGCCTAGCCTTAGCTTTTGGAACGAAGTTTCTTATGTGACGATGTGAGAGACGGATTTCATGAGAAAAAGCGTACGTTACGAAAAAGCGTTAGTACCTATCTCTCTCACTCTGCATTCACTGCCTGCACAGCGAGAGAGAGAAAGTAGTCCGTAATTAATTGACAAAAACACATTTTAATGAGTGCAAAGTCGTGGGCAAAAGCTACGTAGTTGTAATGTAAATCACTTTTGAACAGGTAAGTGAGCTGACTCCCCGATAATGGTACCTCGACCAGCTCCGCCAGTGTCACCACCTCTTATACCCCAATACTTCGCAGGGAAAGAAGTGTTCATCACCGGAGCTACAGGGTTTATGGGAAAGGTACTTATCATCAATTAACTCATATAAAATACTGGTATAAGTAAGTGGGACTACTTGGTGCCGACAATGTCCCACTAACTCGCTGTGTCGGAGCTAATCCCGGATTCATTCTATTCGAGGCGCAGTATGACACACCGTGTTTTAGTCAGTTCGATTCCGACACACGGCCTCACCCTAAACCTCGGTGAGCTAACCACATGTGTGAGTGTGACTTTCCACTTGTACAAAAAAAGGCATTCTTTTTCCACCAGTCTTACCCCAAGGAAGCTTACTCTGTTATCCCCTCTGTAAATGATAACATAACCGAGGAGGATTAGCGCCATGAAGTCTGCCGATCATAAATAAAGAACAGACAAAACCCTTTGCTCGATGCGCCGGCCCCAAATACAAGTGGTAGCAGATCAGGAAGTTGATGAATCATGATGATGTCAATCATATGACAAATAAAAACACGAAACGTTAATAATGTCTGTTACACCGCGTGGACAGCTAAGTACTATACAAAGTCTATTTGCGAAATCAGACATTTAAACTGTTTAAATTATAAACATAGCTAATTATTAACGACTTCATAGAAACGAAAAAACCGGTTGTATCAGGAAACTTCCTCTATCCAGCTCCGCCAATACCCCGGGGTATTGGCGGAGCTGGATAGAGGAAGTTTCCGTCGGAACCCTCCTTTTTTCCACCGATTATAATCCATTTTCACAAAATAAAGCAATACGGTTGTTGTTGTAACAAAATGGCGTTTACAGTGCTGTAAAAGATTTTATTCAACTTTCATACCACAATTATGCTGTAAGACGGCTTTCAAATGATGTTTAGAGCACCTTTGGGGCTGTAATAGATAATTTTAAAGCGTTTTCTCAACTTCAAAAATTAAGCGGAATGAAAGCCCTGTAAAATGATATTATATGACATTGAGTGCCGGTATAGTAACTGAGATGCTATTTTGTCGAATAAGCCGCATTTACTCTATAATTATGCTGTAACAAATACATGTCGAAAGATAGTGCTATAAAAGCTAGTTTTAAGACAAATTAGAAATTCAATTGCTTTCAAAGAGATGTCATAGGACTTACGGTTGTTTGAAGGTGATCGAGAGATATCTTTATATAATTATCGAGTAAATGCGATATGAATTCGTCGAGTACACGTTTACTAGACATGTTTATAGAGACAAAAAGCGTTGAAGGCTAAAATATCTAGACAGTTGCTTTTAAACGGCTTTTTGAAATAATAGGATCTTTCATACGAGTGTTTTTCGATCCATAGTCGTGAGAGTAATTGCTTATACGATCTCTTTGCTAGTTGAGAGCTAATTATTAACCACTTCATAGAAACGAAAAAACCGGTTGTATCAGGAAACTTCCTCTATCCAGCTCCGCCAATACCCCGGCTTTGGGTTGTACGGAGATTGTAGTAGCTGGAGACAGCTACTACAATCTCACTCCCGTTTTATATCTGAATCTTGTCATTAGCCTATTGCTGTCCATTGCTAAAAGAAGGCTTTCCCCAAGGAGCGCATACCATCCTTGTCTTGGGCAGTCCGCATCCATCCGCTGACAGCTTTTTACCTTAAGTCGATAATCCATCGTGTCGCAGGGCACCATACACTACGTTTGCCTACACGCAAACGGGGTGTAACCTGAATCTGAATCATGCGAGGCACTTAACGCTAACTCCTTCTAACCCTTTTCTTACCCCAATTCACATTTTCTCTTTGTCCTGTTTGAAAACGATAACCTTACAAGAAAGAAACAGCCAATACCCTTTGCAATGTGACACATTTCGCATAACATGGGGGTAAATGATGTGAAGATAATGATAAGAACGCAATTGGCCACCTCCAGCAGTTCTGGAAAATGTTTTGAAGTTAACAGTTAATATAATTCATATTTCACGATATTTAGGAGCACCCCTCCCACTCCTTGTCACACAAGTATCCCCGTACCTCTTAAAATATATTGTGAAGTAAGCTTCGTGTTCCAGGTGTTGGTAGAGCGTCTGTTATGGACTTGTCCAGAGATAGCCAAACTTCATCTGCTGATGAGACAGAAGAAAGATATACCGCCAGAAAAGAGACTGAAGCAGTTGAAGCAGTCGCAGGTTTGTTTCATCAAGTGGCTTTAAGCTGTCACGTTAAATTCAAGCAAATCATTTGAATGTTTGTCATGTTTGGAGAATTTATACTTTACTTATTTATAAAGATATGTTTGCACCGCTGGACTCGAGTATAGCACATAACAAAATCTTCTGGTAAAGAATGTGAAACAAGTCGGAAACAGCCAACATGCATATGGGAGTAAAACCACACAGCCTATGAATATATCAACCACTTTTCCAAAGTTTTCCTAACATTTATTCACGAATTGGCAGTTGACTGGTTATTCATTATTCATATTTATGCCAAATGAAGCTGGTCCATCGTGACCAAACCTCCAACCCCATCACTTGGATAATTGGCACACCACCATTTTCAAGAAACTTTTTACCTCTGTATTTCTGAACAGATACTACTTTTTTACAATCAATCAATCAATCTGTCCCACCAGCAGGGCAGTCTTCCAGCGTGTACTGGGTAGAGTCCACTCCACTGCCACAAAGCCCGTACCCTTTCTTAGGAGAGAGCAATGGAGGCCTTCCTCACCCGTCCAATATATAGAAGCTGAGCCATCGACCGTCCAGAACCAACGCAGATGGTCCTGAATGGAATAGGGCTCTACAATGACTGCCAGAGCAACCAACCGCTCCGCGAGCGTCTAGATCAATATATCCTACCTATAAACAGAAACTACCTACAAACCTTCAACAAATAGTGTTCCTTCACTGCAAAGGTTGCAAACATATATTTAAAGTAGCAGGTGCCTACCGGCGAAAGTAGTCCACCAACCATCGGAAGCCCCTCTGCCTTAAACCCATAGGTATGAGCGCAGTTAACTTTACCTTGCTTATGTTTTCTTCACCCAGGTTTTCGATGTCACCAGAGAACATTGTCCTCAACAACTGGAGAAGCTTAGTATCGTAGCCGGGGACGTGATTAAACCGAAGTTGGGCCTCAGCAAAGATGCTGTACAACAATTAAGTGAGGTAAAAAATGACAAAACATAAGCAAATATTAAGTCAACTGTTGCGAACTCTTTTGGGGTATTCTCCCCAAGACTATCTTGTGCTAAATATTTTGCCTGCCAAACTTAAGTGACAGTTTCTTAAACATCAGTAAACATACAATTAACCAGTGACATAATTTCCAGGTGTCCGTGGTATTCCACTCGGCGGCGATCCTGAAGTTCGACGAGCCCCTCGCCGTGGCAGTGGAGCAGAACGTGAGATCCGTTCTGAAGGTGATGGACCTCTGCGATCAGCTCCCTTTGATGCAGGTACAGTCTTGTTTCGATTTCTAAGACCATAAATTCAGTTGACAATGAATTCTAAACTCACGTTATCTATATTTATTTAAAAAGGCTAGATAATACATATTTTACAGTTTGAGAGTCATGCATCGACTGACTCGACTGGAACCATAACCTCACAGAAAATCGGTGTGACGCGATTCTTTCTTTTGTTTAAGGAAATTCCTAAAGCCTAAAGGTCCAGCAGTGGTCTACTAAAGGCTGTTGATGATGACGAAGACTTGTGACCCTTGAGTTTCAGGTGTCTATGGGCCTATAACATATAAATATCCTTTTTTTTTAAGCTTTACCTAGTTTTACCCTAGGTCCCTGGCTCTACCCGCTTTCCTTGCACCTTTTGCACATTTTTTTTCTTCCCATTCTGATCCCTAAGAGACTACTAAACCCAATAAAATTGTAAACAACCCAGGAAAATGATGATGATGGCTTTTCAATATAAAACTTGGCTCTATTCTTCCAGGTGTTTGTGTACGTTTCTACCGCGTATAGTAACGCTGATTTATCTAGCGTAGAAGAGCGTGTTTACCCGGCGCCGCTCAATCTGCAGCATCTGTTTGCCCTTGTCGACAATCTACCCGAGCATCTCCTCGCTGAAATTACTCCTGGGTAAGTCCTTAAGTCCCTAATTGAGATACATTCATTCATACATACGTACATTCACGCTTGAACCCCGGTAGGGGTAGTCAGAAACGTACCTAATTAACACCAATATTTTGCTAACTTTCCTTTGATCTTACTCACGCAATAATCGATCGACGATAGAGCAAATGAGCAGAAATGTCCTGATGGTGAGTAACTATCGCCTCCCGTGGATACATAATAGTCGTTGCGTGCTACCCTTTGAGTGCCCTCTTCCCCCAGAATAGGGGAGGGGGAGTTTGGGCAACAGTGACTAGAGAACTGCTTAACAGGGGTTTTCTGTGAGGCCATAGTATCACTATGGTCGAGGTGGCCCACACTTTGGCTCAAACGAAAGGTTCGCGGAAGGTTGAAGAATATAGTAGCATGTTGCAAGGGAAGGATAATGACCTAAGAAGGAGTAGAGAAGAAGTAAGTGATATCTTTCTTATACGTCTATGTTAACTAGTGAAAGCAATAACTTAACCTGACCAGGCTGATGTTGATGTGGTGGTGGTGGTCAGGGTCACACACCTGACACCTGAAGCTACTGCCTGAAATTGCGAACTCTCTAGCCTTATATAAATAATAAACGCGTTGGGGTTAAATCCATTCGTATTTCTTCAACAGCTTAATACCACCGAAGCCCAATGTGTACACGTTCACGAAAGCCATGGCTGAGAGCGCGCTAGCGGATCGAGCAAGCCACTCCAAGTATGCTACAGCAATCTTCAGACCCTCCATAGGTACCTATTTTTATACCTAAATACTCTGCTAATACAACTTTCACATAAGGAATGATTCCTGTCTGCTTCCTCCCACGAGCTGTATTAAAAAAAATAAGTGGTCAGCGCGCTACCAGATCGAACATGGTTGGATCATTCCAACCATGTTCGATCTGGTTGCGCGCTGAAGGTTGCCCTGCCTACCTGCCCTGGTAACTCTTCGTGAGCTCAAAGTTTCTCATAGACGAACGGAAGAATATCCTCCAACATCGTATAAGACACTTAAGTGTGCAGCAAGTCAAACCGCATAAGCGCAGTAATGTAAATATGTACAGTCTTATGTTTCTTGTGTAGCAAAAATAAATGGTTTAAATGGTTTTAAATGGTAAATAAGCCAGCACGTTGAGGTAACAGAGAACATTAATAGTAAAGTTGTAAAAGTACTAAGTACGCCTATCTATTGGAGATTGCTTATTTCTTAATTATCATTTAAGGAGTATGTAATTGTTTATCGAACATAATTTAGCTGAGCCAGCATTCTTAAACTCTGACATTTTCAGGTATCTTCTGCGACCTGGCATAGTTATTTTTAAATGCATTTTAACTGTTTCTTTTACATTTACTTCCCGTTTTATTTTTATAAGAATTTTACAATGGCGGACCGAATGTCACAGGCATTTTCTCCCAGTCTACCTTAGGGTGGTCCGGAAATGTGAGACTAGGTGCACTAGACATTCACGTTTAAAATATTTCTATTCCCCAGTGGTATCTTCAATGCAAAATCCTTTCCCTGGATGGATAGAGAACCTTAACGGGCCTTGCGGCGTCGTGGTCGGCACCGGCAAGGGACTGCTCCACGTCCTCAACTGCTCAGGAGACAAGAGGGCCGATATGATACCGGTGGACATCGTCATCGATACACTGATAGCCGTCGCCTGGGAGACAGGAGTGGATGAGTAAGCGCAGATGAATCATAGTTCATAACTCGCCCAATATGATCTTAACTCATCAATGTTAATCGTAATCACAATGATCAATGATCTCATAGATGCTAAGTTTAACTTATATATTGATCATAGCTCATTCAAAGTGATCGTAACCAGCGTAAATAATGAGCAGATAAATACTGCTCATAACTATTCTATATTTATTATAACTTTAGTCATTTTAATAAGTATTTTATTAGCGGAGCTAAATCAAATATTTGATTACCTGAGGTTCGACCATTCCTCGGAAATTGCCAGAGGTATCAAGCCAGTCGGGCTATTACGAGATCTTTCGGGCAAGTTTCACGACCTACATAAATGTAGGTATATACCTGTCGCAACACGATGTAGATTAAATCTAGTTTTGCTATACAACGAGTAAAATAGCGAACAGTTACTACTGTTTAGAGCAGAGTGTTGTAACTTGTGTTTTTTTAAAAGGAAACTCCCACAATAGGAATATACCCTGTGTCGCGGGGACTTTACTAATATACATGAAACGGACACTAAGAACATCCAGACTCTAACAACAATTTGTGGATCACAAAAAGTGTTGTCCCATGTGGGGATCGAAGCCACAACACTCTGAGCTGCGCCATCCGAGCAGTCAAATTATTATTTGTTTATGGTGATAATAAGGTATCTAGGTGTACTAGAACCCGCAGTACAAGTTATGCTTGGTTTAGGTCCTTGTTCTTATGTAACACAGCCTCTTTCTACGGCAGTTTGCGAGAAACTCGCGTGTACAACTGCTGCTCGTACGACAACCCGACGACGTGGGGGGAGTTTAAGCGCCGCATGCTGCAAGGAGTGCGAAGGTACCCCTACGGCATGCCGCTCTGGTACCCCTGTGGGTTCTCTATAGAGAACGGGTTAGTAGGAACCATTTACTTTTTAAATACTTTTTTTGCTATTCGTGTCCATCTCTTATCCATACTGCTGTACTTATTTTATAATGTGAAAGTGAGTTTTAAAGTGAAAACTTCTTTAGCGGCGTTGTACACTTTTTTTTGTAACTTTGTAAAAAATGTTAAACTCGCGTCAGGACACGTGACCTGATCGAAAATTCGTAAGACAGAAGGAGAGTAGACAGCCGGCGCGGCGTAGGAGAGGAAGTATCCCCCTCTCTTTCTACGGCGGGGCGAAAATGTATGCCTGCGCCTGCTGTTTCGTTAAGGCGGCGCAGGGCGCTTGCGCGAATGTTCGTGTGTGTTTATGTTACAGCGTGCCACGCGCATCCTTGGATGGTGACAGCGTCTCGATAAATAGTCATGTTTGTGTACGATAGCGCAATAAATATATATAAATGATAGTACTTTTATACTGATAATTAAAGCAATTCGTGCAAAATTATTCCCTAACCATTCCAAAATATTAAAAATGCACAACGTTAATATTCAAGTTTTCACTTCTGCCGGCACTCCCGGAGTGCAACCCGTCGTTTTTTTTTGTTGTAAACCACTAAACCGATTTTAAAAATTCTTTCACCAATGGAACATACATTATCAGCGAGTAAAAAGTAAAAAAAAAGTAGTCTATGAAAACTGACACACACGTGGGCGGAGTCGGCGGCAAAAGCTGATACAAAATAAATTCAATAAAAATAAAACAAAGTCTCTTCGTCACATCGTCTTTTTGTTTGAACGCGATCTGGCAAAGTGTAGCCAATGTAAATCTAAGGTAAAAAATACAAACAAACACAACACCACTAAGTGTGAGTATTTAGAGTAAAAGTTCTAAAAACTAGATTTAAAAAGGCGAGCACTCTGAGTTTAGAATAAAGAAAGGAAGAAAGAATCCCTTCCTTGCTTTCATGAGATGAGTGGGAGCCCAAGAACGCTTCAGCTTACAGATTTATTTGAACATGTGACATCTGGTCCCTTGATTTTCATCAACACTCATGACATTGTTCAGGTTGGTGACGAAGGTGAGCCAGTGGCTGCTGCAGACCGCCCCCCTCCACACCTTAGACTTTGTGTTCACTATGTTTGGGATCAAGTCGCGGTAAGTTTCTTTTTTATTGTACACCATTGGAGTATTATTTGTACAGATAATATATACATTGCGGTATAACAATAGGCGGTCTTATCGCTCACGGCGATCTCTTACAAACAACCCTTATACAGATATTGTCAAATTTAAATAAAGGTAGCCTGCGATGTATTTAATAATATTTAATAGTTAAATGAATATGAAGTTACTTTATACGTTTACAGTATACATACAACAAATACACTTAAATACATACAACATATATAAAAACATACAGACAGAGGTTCATAAATACACAAATTCCTCTATGATGTCAAGTAATGATTTGTGACTAGTTTTTTAAATATTTGCAGTGAAGTAGCTTGCCTAATTGCCTCCGGTAAGCTATTCTACAGTCGAACTGCTTGCACTGAGAACGATTTATCAGTGAATTGTGTGATATGCCGGCCATTTTTAACTTTTTTTGGACCTTCACATGAATATTTCTGGAGCAGGGGCGAGAGAGGGCTAAAAGATTCCATTTGTAACTCTTGAATTGTGGGTGTCCATGGCGCGGTAGTCACTCACCATCAGGTGACCCGTCTGCTTGTTTGTCCCAATTCAAGACTTGTTGTTGCTCGAACAAGTGGGAAGACAATGAAAAATATTACAATTCCTAGCTTTAATTATTGAAACTGAAATTTTCCAGTCCTTCCCTGGCGGCAATAAGCCATCGTCTCCAGGCCATGAACGACGCTCTCAAGTACTTCATGACCCGCGAGTGGAAGTTCAGCACCGACAACGTCCGGCGGCTGCGGGACCGGCTGGCGCCCGCCGATGCTGCCCTCTACAACCTGGATGTGCAAACTATCGAGTGAGCAGGAGCTTCTTCTTAGAGACTAACTATTTGGGATAGCACTTCAAAGAAAATATGGAGATTTTAAACTCGGTTTAAGTTGTGACCCCGATTTGGATCTTTCTTTTTTTATTGGGAGAGTATGTTTCTCGTTTGGTCCCATTCAAATGTGTAGAAATATAATTATCATCTCCAAGTTAGAAAAGGCCTGGCTCTACATGAGATCTGATAACTTCCTGACAGTGCCAGCCATATATTAGGGTCTCGTGTTGGCAACATTTATATGAAAATATTTTTGGTGGGATGTGGTATTACTAGAAACCATAATTCTATTTATTATTAAAATTAAATTGAGTACATTTTATTTAATTCAAATTACAAATATAACTTGACCGTTCATTCAACACATTTCGTAATACTTCGTTCTTCTTTGTGATTGCTTCAGTTTATCATGTTGTGGGCGCGTTGAAGTCAGTGATATCTGGTATTTAAAAGTAAAAAAAAAACACATTATTAAAACACAACGCTAAGATCTTTAGAATTAGATCACTGCCAATGAATGAAAATAAAAATAACACGACACATCTGACACGAGGCCGTCTGATCACAAACTAGGCACAGCCTGTACCATGGTAATCAGACTGCTGATAAACACACTTATATGTATGTTACTAAATACATACATAGTTAAATATTACAGACAAATGACTCCTAGACACAGAACAAATGATACTGCTCATCAGTCGGGATCACTAACCACTAGAAGAACTATTCATAGATTATTTTGACGGGCCAACTGAATTTGTATGAATGATAACTGTACAAAATATTGGTTATTTACGATTTCAGTTGGGAAGATCACTGCGTCAAGTTTGTGCAGGGCACGCGCCGGTACTTGCTCCACGAACAAGTCGACGCCTCGCGCTGCGCTCACTTGAGAATGAGAATGTGAGTCACTCCACAGGACACTGGACAGATTCTCCAGGCCATAGTCATATATCAGAGCCAGGGTTCTAGCAATACACCCATTTATAAATAATATAAACACTATTAATTTTAAAAAATCGTAATGAACACAGTTATGATAAATTTAACAATAATTCTAATAGACATAGGTTTGTACTGAAGGCCAAGTCATGGTCGTAATAAACATTCGGTCAAATTTCAGTTGCGATACACTCTCGATTCGAGCTGGCAACTGTCATAAAAGATATTTTTGTAGTAAAATAGTAAAGTATTATTAAGACTAGCAGATTACCGATTCAATGTTCGGTTACAATACGATATAACCACATTACAGTCAACGTTGGATGTTAATACTTTACTACGAAAATACTTTTTATGACAGTTGTGAGAACAAGGCTCGAATGGAACTGAATTGTGATCGAACTTTTATTATGAGAATTGGCCTTCTGTTCGCTAACCTCCATATTTATTTATTCCCTGTATTGCAGAATTAGAACGAATCGATGAGTCCATAAAATATCGTGGCAAATTCGATTGTCTGTATTTACAGTTTAGCTCATAGACAGATAGAGGTTTGTAAATTAGTATGAAAATACTTGTGATAATTCGACTTAGGTACTCACACATCATGCACATTTGGTGCATTGGCGGACTTAATACATAAGGCATTATCTACCAATCAACCATTCGGTGATGCATTAGGGATTAGAACTCTTTTCTGTAACATCCGGTTTTTAAAGCTACTCGATAATAGATGACATCACGCGTCAGAATTGGCCGTTTCCTGATTTCCCTTAAGAACAATAAGTGTGTATTGTATCAAAGAATTGTATTACTTAAAATAAATAATAATCCTCAAAAATAGAAAACCTTATATTACTTATTATACTGCTGTTATAAAAAATACAGTGTAAAATTTGGTAGCGAATTGATAAAATAAGATAGTAAGTCTATTTACCGCTAGATGGCACTAGTAACTGTTTCACTAAAAATCTTATCTTGTAATGATAACAATATAGTAATATTACTCTTTTTGTATATTACAGGTTATATATAGTTCACCGATTGATGCAGTTATTGATAGTACTCTTCTTGTATCGTCTCTCGAAGCGGTCCGTTCCTGCCATCTTGTGGGCAATGTTCAAACTAAAATCTGTAAAGAACTCAAAATATGGATCAAGTTAAACAGCGTTTATCGTTTTCTTGTTTGGTATTATAGTGGAATAAGGCTGTTATCATAGATGTTGGAAGTTTGTAAATATAACGGTATAAGGAAATAAATATTTTTATAAATGTGATTTTATTTAAAGTCGCCGTGTGAGGCGCGCGCGGCGGAGGGGGACAGTGTTTCCAACTTACTCCATCCACCCACGTACATGATTAGCCACAGAAATTATAACATGTTAAAAACAACACTGCGGTAAATACTAATTAATAAACAATACGTTGTACATATATTTACTGTACATGTACGTACTGTACACACTTATTAAAACCCTACATTCTGATCCACTGATTTGGTAATAAAAAGAAATGGAAACTCCAAAAACCCGCCATCTTGCTTGTTTTATAATTTATAATTTATAATACAGAACTAATAATAATAATATTGTACCACATTCACACAGCGCCATCTAGTCCCAAACCAAGGAGAGCTTGTACTATGGGTACTAGACAACTGATATAAATACAAATATACTTTTGTTTTGTAAATACTTACTTATTATACATAGAAACACCCAGACCAAATCAAACGTTAAATGTTCATGCACACAAATGTATGAATTAAGCGGGATTCGAACCCGCGACCTTTGGAATAGCAGTCCGTTACACAAACCACTACGCCATTCGGTCGTCCTAGAACTAATGTTAGTCCTGTATCGAGCAATTAAAAGTTCTCGCGCCTATTGGTATATACTCGTACAACTTCCCAACTTCAACCGATGGCCCGTGGCCCGCCGGGCATGATCACCTCGCCTGATCAGAGGATCCTCCCTTTGGGTTAAAGGAACATGACGCCTGTTCCTCCACAATATCAAGGCATATCAAAATATCGGTGAAATTGTACCAAATAATCGTCGCTCTAAATAAACGTTATGCTAAACGAAATTATGCGAAATTTTAACTCTGCCAAAGGTAACTATCTATACAAATAAATAAAATTGGAGTGTCTGTTTGTAAAATTCAAATAACCGCTTTTTAGTAAATGCATATGTATGTTTACACGGTACATATGCCAAAATAACATTTTTTACAATTTTATTTATTTGTAATCTCTGGAACGGCTGGACCGATTTCGACGGGACTTTTACTGGCAGATAGCTTATGACATAAGGAGTAACTTAGGCTACTTTTTTTAGACTAGCTTCAATCCGCGGCGTTGCCCGCGGTTATAACAACAAACGCGGGTAACACCGCAGGTTTCAGCTAGTGCTAAATAAAATTATGCCATCATAAGAGTATGCCATTGTAATTTCGGACATATAAACATTCGGCCAAACAATAATTAAACTAAATAATTTTTGTGCCTTAAAAATATTCGTTTAAAGAAGATTCTGCCAAGTGTGTTATGCGAAATAAATTTCGGAGTATCAAGATTCTGTCAGGGTACTTTTTAGTGGAATCACTACATACTTCTGGATCCTGTGGCCCCCAGGAAGAGGAGATCCGAAAGGTTTTTCCACCTTGTCAACAATACAAAAAAGGACAGCTGCGAAGAGCAATTTTATAACATATTCCTGAACCCACGTTGTCCAGTAGATGTCTCTGTCTGTTTGTGTGCCTCTGCTAATTACCATTTATATTGCCGCGCAGTAAGGTTTGATGCTCGGTAGGTGGCTAGCTAAAACGACATTAAACTGCGGTGACAATAACTACTCGGATGGATGGCATTTAAAGAATTAGCCTCGGTTCGTAGAACAAAACAACATGACGAAGCTTTAAGGAAAAATTACGTGTTTTTAATCATAGCTGGTCAATTTGGTATCGATTTCCTTTGAAGGAGATAAATAAAGAATATGTTTGAGGACTTGGTCTTCCTGTCACAGATATAGACCCAGCTTGAGCTACTTCTTACTCTTCTCATATTTTCCACACTTATTATTATTACACACCTATTACAAATTTAAAAATGTTTCATTTTGTTACGCTTTCACGCCTAAACCATTCAAACTGATTAAAAAAAAATCGGTTGTCTGTAAAGTCGGTTTACTGACGATAGTTGAACGTGACAACGTCATAAGACACCACATTCACTTTTCACTGCACTTCATACTTGACGAAAACATGTAAATGTATTATTGTATAGCAGCTGTCCACGCGGACGCATCGCTCACTCAAATAGGAGAGAGACAGATGTCGAACGCTGCCGAACGCGGAGGCCGATTGTGCCTCTTTGTCGCTCGTTCCGCACTCTCGCTTGCACTTCAAGCCTTAAATGGAACGCCTCAGAGCGAGGTAACGCCGCATGAGTCATGTTATTTCGTGCGTGCAGCCGGCTCCATCGAATTATAAGACGTTGTCACGTCAAAATACATCAGCAATGGAAAACTACATTATCAGCGAGTAACATAGATTACTTGTTACTGCAATGACCGACATACATGCGAGCGCGTACAAAGTTTAGTCTGTAATAAAATATGTTTCATTTCGTTGCCTTCTTTTCTTTCCTATATTTTCCATTTAATATACGTATTTCGAATTTATCCATCTTTAAGTCTTAAAGCGCTTGGATGACTGCAATAAGCTTGCCTAATAAGATAGATAGATAGAAAACTCTTTATTTGTAAATTGTTTTACAAGTAGAATGGTACATAAAAATATCAGACATGTAATGTACAAAGGGCGGCCTTATTGCTAAGAGCAATCTCTTCCAGGCGACCTTAGGATGGATTTAAATATTTGGGAGAGACAGTAGTAGTTGAAGGTGAAATGAGTTTAGACAGGTTCATTAGTGATGAACATAAAAGAGGTAAAATTTAATAAATATTTACACATAAAGCACATACACATTATACATCCATATACACATATACATACATACGATATACATATATTTAAACATACATAACTAATTAAGTATATCACATAAATAAAAGAAAAGGAACATTCTTATCATGCCTTAACACGGAATTGATTTAATCAAGATACGTAAAAGGTATAAGGCTGTAAGGTGAGTGAAACGGCAATATATCTAGTTGACTAAATGTGACTGTTTGACAAATCTTTGCTGCCCTTTAAAGAATACGGGCTCCGGCCTGTCCTGATGCCTATATGATTCACTAGCTGGTGCTCGCGACGTCGTTCGAGTGGAATTTGAAAAGCGCTGCCTTAGTGAGTTTGATTCCCGGACCAGGCAAAATTTTATAGGGTTTTTCTGACAGAAAAAATAGCCTAAGTTACTCCTTATATAGAAAGCTACTTGGTAGTAAAATAGTATCAAAATCGATCCAGCCGTTTTGAAGATTACCCGGAACAAACAGACAGAAAGAAAGACAGAAACACAAAAAATATTAAAACTGGTTTTTAGGCATAGGTATCGTGCAAATAACAGTAAGCATGAAAAAAATTTTTGACATCACAAACAGACACTTTAATTTTATTTATTTGTATTCATTCATTCTTGGTTCCAGTCAAAAACTTGGTTCCAGTACTTGAATGGAGGATGGTTCCGGAGTACCCTGACTGCTTGAGAGTCAGAGTAGTAGCATTTTACAGAAACTAATTGAAGTCTTTTAACAGTTTCACACAATTAGGTTGACTCGCGCCTGTGGAATCTTTCGACATAGTTTTCAACAACTTCAAGTCATCCAGTTCCATTTAACATTTGCATCGAGGACCGATGACGGATGACTAGAAAACAAATATCATTATTGTATTATACTGCTCTGTGAATTTAATAACTTTACTTATAGGATATTAGGACTATTATTATGTTGACTTGTGTTGAGTACTCCCCGTGGTTGTGATTGGTCTGATCTATTTATCCAAGTGAGCACGTGGTAGACAATTTTCAAATACTGATTATCTATACAAATAAATAAAATTGGAGTGTCTGTTTGTGATATTAAAATAACCGCTTTTTACTAAATGCATATGTATGTTTACACGATACATATGCCAAAATAACATTTTTTACAATTTTTGTCTGTCTGACTATCTGTCTATCTGTCTGTCTGTCTGTTTGTTCCAGGTAATCTCTGGAACGGCTCGACCGATTTCGACGGGACTTTCACTGGCAGATAGCTGATGCCATAAGGAGTAACTTAGGCTACTTTTTTTAGACTAGCTTTGCCCCGCGGCGTTGCCCGCGGTTATAACAACAAACGCGGGTAACACCGCGGGTCTCAGCTAGTTATAATATATATTCATTCGTGTGGTGAGGGATAAGAATACGGAGTGTCACAGCCCCTGTTCATCCCGTGGGTATCGTAAGAGCTGACTAAGGGTGCAACTACGCAGGGCGCAAACTACTAAAGGATGTTGATGATTATCTAACAGCCTTTAGCGGTCTGCGCCCTGACCAACAGCCAACTTATAACTACTCTATAGTTTATTGGTGAACTACACGTGTTAAAAAAATTGAATCATCACGCATGCACTTGAGAACATATTTCTGTTATAACAACACTCATTAATACTGTGATAAAGTTTAATGGTCTAATGAAATATGCGACAAGAGCCTGCATGCTCACCATGCTTGAACATGTTCTGTAAGGTGAGTAAATGTGCTACGTTCATCAGAATAGTATATTAAAGTATATTAAAAATAAGTAACGTAATAAGATAGATGTTTTATCTATTTAAATACAACCATTAAAAGATACCTTTTCATCGTTGAATACTTGTTCTTAGAAGGCTGGCAATTTACTTCTATGTGCTAGCAAAAGCAAAGCTTCTGGTCACGAGTAATGTTGATCAACTCGTGTTTTATAAATAGAACGAGCACTAGTACCCCATGGCCGTCTAGATATGCTAATATTTATCATTCTCGTCTCATGAGATGTCCAGCCTGCCTGAAACCAGGCTTGTGCGATAGGTTTAATGACAAAAGAGAAAGCTTATGAAGTATACAAGGATAGAAGAAAGTGGTGGGTGTTTACTCGTCCTATTCTGCTTGGAGAAAGTCATCATGTCGGTAAAACAATGGGAGGTCTTGTTCGGGCCCAGGAGTTATGTATTTTGATCATTTCATATCTGTGCGTGTATCACTTTTTTTCACATTCATGATATCTTTTCATACAAACAGCCGAAAGAAGCATCTCCTTCTTTTCGGAAGTACGTGAAAGATGTAAGTAGCTGTTAATACTAATTATTACATATTATTATCTCCCAGATAATAATAGCAAGTGTTGGCGCGGTGCTGGTAGCAGTACTGTCTACTGCAGACACAGACGCCGAGGCGAGTTTGCATCGCGCTCTTCTACAGAATAAGGCAATCATCTTAAAAGATGAACGAAGACGAACACCTATTATATTAAAAGGTAAAAATTCTGCAGTTACGTATCTCAAATTAGTTTTGTGGCATTGGGATGTTGAAAATATTTACTTAGTATTTCTATCAAACAATCAGTTTAAATCATTTGTTTCAATTATTTGACGGGTCTGTTCATCTAGTGGTTAGTGACCCTAATAGCTTAGCCGGAGTTCGTCGGTTCGAGTCCCACCCAGGGCAAATTATTGTGTTATGAGTACGGTCACTTGTGTCGCCTAACGTGTAATGTATCTATATTATGTTTAATTTAGAGATATAAGTATGTTTATTATCAGCAGTCTGGTTACCATAGTACAGGCTCTGCCTAGTTCGGGATCAGACGGCCGCGTGTGAGATGTGTGAAGTTATTATTATTATTACTATAGTTTGTCAGGGGTAGGAGTCAGTCTATCTAAGTTAGGCATGGCACCAGCTGCTTGGTCTAATACTTAGATTCTCAAATGACTGCACGGATGGCGTAATGGTTTAAGCGGTCGCCATGCCGCTTCCTACTACGCTGAGTGTGTTTGTGAGTGTGTGTATATGTTATCGTATTTGTGGGTGTAAATTTTAAAGAGAATACTGGAACCACAAACATTAAAGTAAACTGCACGGATAGCGTGGTGGCTTAAGCGGTTCTCTCGCCGCTACCTACTGCACGTACTTCGTTTCATGTATGTACGTTTGTAAAGTCCCCCGCGACACAGGATATAGGTATTCCTAATGCTTGTCTTTTAATATAACATATTATGGGCAGTATTTCTTATGCTGGTGGTAGCCAAAATCCCTTAAAATATAGCACATTGCACCAAATCAAATGAAATTGGGTACAGGGCCGGAAAATGATGATTAAATAACTGTCAGTAAACCAATCACATACTTGATGATTGCATTTTGCTGAATACTCATAATTGAATGGCTGCTGGGCGACTAGGACGGTCGTACCCTCATTCCTCTTGAAGTAGGAGTTAGACGACCATTGACTCTCGAGTTAAAGCAGATGCACTTGAAATAGAGGTAGAGTATGTGGTAGAATATATATTATATTATTATCGATACTCTCCACGATATACTTGTAGACAGATGGCATAGATATAAACAACAGTCTGCATTGCATGCAGTTAGCTCTCTGTATAATGTGTTTTTTATTCATTTCTATAGCCTTGGATGGTCGTGTTGGAGATAAAGGTGGAGTTACTCGACGTGGACGTTCCAGAAGTCGTGATAGATCTGATCACGGAAAGAGAGGACATCTTCATCGTTTTCGCTCGCGAGGTTTCGACAGGAAACCTCATCGTTCCGGCGCTCAAAAGGACAGTCGTCATGGCCATTGGATGTCTGGTCATCATAGCCATGGAAAATCCGATCATCATAGCCATAGAGAGCCTGGTCATCCTATACGTAGAAAGCCTAGTTGCCATGAAAAACATCGTCGTCCGAAACCACCTCAACTTCATGACCAGGCTCGTCCTCACGGCGGTGAACCTGGGAAAAGCAAACTACCTGGACAGTCGATGGTTCCTCTCGCAGGGTTTTCGTATTATTGGGGCGATGATGCAAGTACGGACGAAGGAAGAGAAACTGGTCGCTATAATGATCGGGACAGGAATGTATACGGAAACAGTGAAGTAAGTTATGATTGGACTAGTTGGTCGTACCCGTTATAGTCATTCTGAACTGGAGCCAAGAGGTCCATTACACGATCATGGAAGCTATGCTTAAATGGGTTATGAATAAAAGGTTAACACGTGAATAAAATAAAAAAGGAGAAAAATTTGACCCACAGTTTTTTATTTAATAGGGGACATAGGTACTGGTATTGGTAGTGGGCTCTTTTTTCCATGTTTAGACCTAAAAACGGTTCTTTATGACCGTGGGTAAGGTTGGCTAGGGAGGACCCTTTAACAAGACGAACTGATCTTGCCTAGCAGACCGCGACCCATAATGTGGGGGGAGGGCAACAGCAGGCCATTTGATAATAAGTGACTACCGTCGTCCGTAGCTCAAATGTAATTTTAATTAGGTAAATATTTTCTATATTTAATGAAATAAAGTTAAATGAGACTTATATACACTGTACTTATGGTTACCGTACCGTATTAATTAAGCAAGTATGTAATACAGCATATTGAAATGTTATTACTTGATATTAACAACTTTTTTTATTAATATTTCAATCAAAAAGAGAAATGACCTTTTTTTTATTTCACGCGGGAAATGCGGAAGGACGCTACAGCGCCTCTCACTGCTCCACAGAGTAAAAGGCGCAACAACGTCCCGCCTTAGACGACACTCCCCGGCCGCACTGGAGTGTCATCTGTCTCCCGTCGTTTATAGTGGTCACATCGCCCCAAGATGTGGCCGCAGCGACCCTAAGGCGGCGATTGGGGAGTTAGCGACCCCTGCCACGTCCCCTTTGCTGCCTCCTTTTGGAGCATAACGTCCTCGCAGAAGGAGACCGAGACTGCCTATCCCTCGCCACTCGCCAGCATTGCGGCGATTAATGTTGGCGGTGATAGGTTTCGTCCGATCTGTCCGACCAAGATTTGACGTTCGGAGTCCCATGCAGGGCAGTCCTCCAGCGTGTGCTGGACAGAGTCCCGGTCGGACCCGCAATGGTGGCATTGTGCCGTAACCTCCTAATGACCTAAACTAATGCTTAGTTTACACGTATGGCGAGCTTGGCAAACGTCCACAAAGCTTTTTTAAACTCTTTGATGCCATTTATACGCTTGCGAGTGTGTGTATCTTGATTGCGTCAAAAATGGGGCACCAAAGTTTGCCCAAAGAAAAATATCCTTCCATCCTATATATATGAAAATTTCAAAATAAATAAAAGATTTTTCCAAATCGGTTTACAAATGAAAGAATTTAGAGGTAACTAACATGTAAATAATTGCATAACAAACATTTTTATTGTCTAAATGTTTTGTAATCTCATATACATATATTACTCTTTTGTGTACATATCTCTGTAACCTAACACAAACACCTAACAAATATATTGAAACAAAATAACAAGGTCAATACATGATTAGATTTTTGAAAGAATTATCCTACTCCTAAAGGTCAAGGACCCTTCTATCATCAGCTTAGCAACACAAGATAACGACTACCAAACGCGAATACCTGTATAGCTGGAAAAACAAGCTAAACCACGCTGTCGGGGCTGTAAAATTTGATCATCCGCAGATCATGATTTGATGAAAATGGGAACACCTCGGGACTCGGGAGTATAATAATGCTTTCGATTAAAAAAATAATTTTGAAAATCGGTTTACAATTAACGGAGATATTGCTCAACAAACTTCGTATCAAAATTTAAAAACAATCGAATTGAGAACCTCTTCTTTTGTGTTTTTAAAGTCGGTTAAAAAGATCTGATAACACTTGGAAATCTGGCATGTTCGTTTAGGAGTTAGTGATGCTGATTACTAATCTAGAGATCGTGAGTTCTATTCCCACCCAGGACAAATAATTATGTGATTAGCACGATAATTTGTTCTATGCCTGGGTGTAATTTATATATTAAGATATATATGTAGATATATATTGAGCTCTATTTAAAACACTTTGCAAATTACGTATGTTTATCAACAGTCTGGTTACCATAGTACAGGCACAGCCTAGTTTATGATCAGATGGTCAGATGGATGGATGTGTGTCAAGTTAATATTATTTATTTTATTTTGTGTTTGGGTGAGGACCAGAGAAAACCCGCCAAAGCCACAACTGACTGTAGTCAGTGGGGGAAGCCCGAAGCGTCACCACAAACCTTCGGCTTGTCCGTTTGACGCCCGCATATCAATGTTTTGAACCAGAAACAACGAATATTATGATTTAACGCAGACGTGATTCATCTGCAAGTTCATTGTTTATTAACATTAATTCTTTATTACTGTTTATTATTTATCTTGCTTTTTTTTCTGAAAATAATAAATATCTCTTATGGCACGGGTAACACATCTATACAGATAAATAAAATTGAAGTGTCTGTTTGTAATGTCAAAATAATAGGTTTTTTTTATGCTCACACGGTTATTTGCAGGATACCTTTACCTAAACACCAGTTTAGTTTTTTTGTCTGTCTGACGGATTTTGATAATATTTTACTATCAGATAGCTGACTATATAAGGAGTAACTTAGACATTAGATTAAAATCCCATTAAATTTTGCCCTGTCCGAGAATCGAACACACTAAGGCAGCGCTTTTCCAATGCCACGACAGCTAGTTATTAATAAGAATTATTTGTTATTATTCCCATTAATTGTTTAGTTTAAGTGCTTTTGTTGTTGACTTTTAGGTGTACATGACAAGACATTGATTCCTAATAAAATCAATAAAATATTACTTACTTGAGAACAATATTGTAACTTAAGCCATGATTAAACATTCGTGGCTTCGTATTCATCTAATGCATTCGGTATAATAATTTAAGAGTAATTTTCTACTTTTTTTGGAAGAGAGGTCAAACGAGCAGACACATCACCTGATGGAAAGTGACTATCGCCGCCCATGAACGGGGCGTTACCGAACTTTTAGGAAGGAGTACGCTCTCTTCTGGAAGGTTTGAAGGTAGTATCGGTTCAAAATTACCGCAGACGATAACTTGTTCCACAGATTGGTTGTGTAAGGCAAAACTTGAAAAGCGCACAGTGGCCTAGCGCCAATTATCCAAGTGAATGGAATGAAAGTTTTGCCGAGTGGAATGAAGACGGAAAGTTGCCGCCGGAATTAAGCAGAACAGTTTCTCAGAGCACGGTTATATGTATATACGATAGAGAATGTAGAGTGAAGCTACATCTCGACGTAACGCACTATTTGCACTATCGACGATTGGAGTCGCTCTTCGTTGGTTGCGTTCCAGATGGAGAAGCTAGTACTGAGGTGCCCCTGCATAGAAATGAGAACAGTATTCCATATGCGGCCGGAGCTGCGCCTACTTTGAAAGTTGCTATTATATTATGCTGATAGTATAAATTTTCTGTGGGAGTGCCCTGCTTCCACTTATGTATATTGGCTGGCTTGACCGGACTTAAAACATAGTCTCACAGGACACTTGTGTTAAGCACATCGTATCAACGGCTTCCTTTAGTTGTGCTTTACTAGGCTCTGCAGGCAATATAATGCGCTGTCTAAAACTAAAAAAACTTAGATCTCTGTGTTTCACTTTTAAAATATAAAGGTTACTTAAAAACTATTTTGTAGTGATAAATCAATAATATTGTCTATGATATGATATAGCAAATCAACATGTAGGTACATGTTGATTTGCTATCCATAATTACATCAAAATTGTGTTTATGGTTTTGATTTATGTGTGATCTGTGTGTAAGGTTAAATATAAATTGTTACTAATGTTTGTATGCTGTGGTCTCCTATAATTGTGAGAGTAGACCCAAAGATGAAAACCCCCTCCTAATTCTTGAGGTTAAGAGGGGCGATTCTATGGACGTAACGCACTTGTGATTCTTAGATTGCAGGTAAATTGCGACGTCTGCTCGATTCCCCTTTTTTTTTCTGTGCGGGATCACCTTAGATACCACCAACCGGTGAGGTGGACTTATGTCGGACTCGAACCGACCAAAAACCGCAAGCCATCTTGATGATCGATGAAAAGTAGCCGGTGAACCATATGTACCCAAGGAAGGAAATCCCTGGTACCCCGACGCACCTCCTGTGAGGGAACTGGTCGTTTTCCCTATATCATAAAAATAAAACTTATTGTGGTTTGAGAACATGTCTAGTGCCTCACCTGACTGAAGGTAACATTATGACTATCTCGCGGTTCTGTGTTATGGAACATTTCCTTTATTACAATATGATTATGAGTTGGCTGCTCTGTCAATCGGTTTGTGTGTGTCACTCTAGGAAACGATGTACCTAAATTAATTAATCTTGTCATATTTGTATTAACGTGTTTGTTGTTAATTTCTGTGGTTAAGTTAAATCTTAATCAGTAGTGAATATGTATTGTGTTTTCCATTTGTAAAATCCATTCAATCATTTCAGGGGTCATCGGTTACAAACAAACAAATATTACCTCCTGTATAATACCAATATTGTATGTTATTACTACCTACCTTACCTTTGTTCCCTTTGTGAAAATCCCTTAGGCCACACCCGACCCAGGTGTTTGGAAATTGAGCCTATTACAACTACTCATCAACATCAGCAGCCTTTAATAGTCCACTGCTGGTCCAAGGAGGATTTGGCCTACTATACCACGCTGGCCAGACGGGTTGGTATAGGGTTTGTTTGACGGGCCGATTGGTCTAGTGGTTAGTGACCCTGACTGCTAAACCGGAGGACAAATATTGTGTGATAAGCACGGTCATTTGTTCTGTGTCTGGGTGTAATTTATGTATAATATGTATCTATTTAAACATATATATTTATGTTTATCAGCAGTTTGATTGCTCTAGTACAGGCTCTGCCTAGTTTGGGATCAGACGGCCGTGTGTGAGATGTGTGAGATTTATTAGTTTTTCTTCTCTTTGCAGTGCTGTTGTCCTACGAAGCTTAACCGTAACTCAAAATATATTTAAATCATGATTTTTTAAAACAAAATTAAAATTTGAAATCGTCATAGACTCTAAAGTCATAGGTCAACACAAAGAATAGCACCAATCTGTTTGATCAAATACCAAAACGATTAGGTAGGT